CACTGCTGTTGGCAACCAGCCAGGAGGGACACAGGTCCAGTATACAGGTGGCGGCACTCACAGCTCGCATAGCCTTGACTTTAAGCCCAGAGGCAACTTCCTGAAACTCAACCCAGAGATGGTTTGCCAAGTCTTCCCCTTGTGTCTCGGCTGGATCTGCTGGAGTGGAGTCCAGGTCCGATCGAAACCGGGCAACTTTGTCCGCCAAGAACTGGACATACTCCTCAGCCTTACCCTGTAAGGGGTCCCCCGTCTCCCTCCCTCCCATCAATCATGCAGTTTTTTTCCTGTTGAAAATCTATGTACTGGGCTTAAAGGAACTCAGCCTTATAGAACCAGTTCTTAAGTAGGGAATTGGGGTAGCGCATAGACATACTTTGGTCTTGTTACCTTCAGCCACCAGTGTTTAAAGCCTTCCTCTGCCAGATACTGGATGAGCTGGGTGCAAAAGCCATTGAACCGAAAGAGGCAATGATAGCAGTCTATCCTGAAACAGCTTGTGTAGCTGTGAAGAATGTTATGCAGTTGATTTGAAGGGCAATGAGCTGACTTTCTACGATTAACCTCTGCAATCCAGATGACACCAGGTTTGTTCTGAGCAATTCAACACTGCTATTCATTAACTGCTATGAATAATGCAGGCAACAGGATGTTTGCCTGTAATAACTAGCTCTGGAATGCCTACACAAATATGGCCACGTGTAGGGGGAAAAGTACAGCCTAAGCTAAACAATTCTATAGGGTGTATGCACATATGTGTGCATATAACTGTACACCTGTAGGGGTTGGAGTGTTAATTGATGTGTTCCAGGCCTTATATGTTCTCACTAAGTTATGAAGAATAGACCGAAATCAAAAGCCACTTTTATCTCTGCTAGATCAGCCATCAGCAGTACTATTACTCACTTTGGTATGGAATCTAACTTGATCAATATGTGCTACCCATTTCACATCTATTTAGAGACAAAGATTTAGTAACTTTCAAGACACAGTATAAGTTCAAAAGGCTTTAGATTCACCTAAAATTAATTGATACCACTCTCTCCAGATAAAGGGCCCATTCTGTGTTATTCTACTAACACACATAAAAACCAAAGCATTTACAGCTTATAACAGATGGGATATTTTTGCTCAGGTCTTTTGGGCCTTGCTCAGGCCGTTAAGTAACTTGGATAATGGATTTTAATGATTAACAAAAACATCAATGATTGTACATCAGAAGTCTCTAACTTTCATTTTTTTTAAATGCTAAAAATATTTATATATGGGGATTGCCTGATTGGATTAGGTTATATAGGGGTTAATTATGAAAAAAAAACATCCTATTTGGAGAATGGCCACTGCAGCTTTAATCCTTATGCTCAGAATTTGGTACATAAAGTTTATATGGGTTGCTAATGGATAACACTATTACTCAGATATGTAGGTGGGAAGCTTTTTAAAATGAGTACATTCCTGTTTCATATTAAATAACACTTGTGCTAACATAATAGATGAAGAAAGAGGAAAAGTAAATTATTAATAACTGCTAAGTGGCAAAGAAATGACAAAATAGGGCCTTAATGATTTGTCTACAAAAATAGCTGTCAGGACGAAAACTCACTTAGGGACTGGGTAGCTAAACTGACAGGAAGAATATAGTAAGGATGGGGGTGGGGGAACCTTTTTGTGGAAGACAAGAAGTAGCCAAAGTTACTATGATAAGAAAGATGTGAAGTAGTATTGCATTTAAATATAATGTAGTAGTAGTCCATCATTAATCATTTTAGGGAGGGGCTTGAATGATGTTTTATCCTTTCTTTGAACATCTGCCCCCACTTTCTTTGTCATTCAAAGGCAATGATATTCATATGATTACAGAATACACGTACAAAATAGCATTGGAAGGGACCTTGGAAGTCTTTGTCCAAACGATGCCCAAGCAGGTGATCCTACACCATTCCAGAGAAATTGCTGTCTAATCCCTTCTTATAAACTTTCAGTAATTGTCAGAAAACTTCTCCTAAGTTGGGTCTCTCTTTGATATGTTTCCATTTGTTACTTCTTGTCTTGCCTTCAAGTGCTTGGAGAATAGGTTGACCCCCTCTTCTTTATCAAAGCCCTTCAAATATTGGAAGACTGCTATGGTATCATGTCATCCCTAGTCCTTCTCTTTGCTAGATTAGGCATACCTAGTTCCTGCAACCATCCATCATAAGTTTTAGCCAGTGGTGGGTTTCAAAAATTGTTCGAACTTACTCTGTGGGTGTGGCCTCCTTTGTGGGAGTGGCTTGCCACCCATGTGACCGGGTGGGAGTGTCTTGCCATCCATGTGATCGGATATGAAGATGCTGACGACACTTGTCAGAACCACCTTAAATAACCTCACACGCAGCACTGACATGCATAAGAATATGATGTAAAGTTGTTTTTTAAAAGGCATCTTTGGTTTGCGTTAAAACCACTTCAACCCACGCAATGTTCTGATTGCACCACAAACGCAGTAGTCATCCTTACCTTTCACAGAGGCACTGAGTTTTATAAATATGAGCATGATAGTGTAGAATAATCATATCCAAGGACCAGTGGTGGGTTTCAAAAAATTTTGGAACCTCTTCTGTAGGTGTGCCCTGCTTTCCGGGTCCCCTGGTGGAACCTCTTCTAACCGGTTCGGTAGATTTGACGAACCGGTTCTACCGAATAGGTGTGAACTGGTAGGAACCCACCTCTGGTTTTAGCCTTCAGACTCCTAATGATCTTCTTTGCTCTTTTTTTGGACTCTCTAGAGACTCAACATTTTTTTCATATTGTGGTGACCTGGATGTAGTATTCCAAGTCTGATCTTATCTTGGAAACCTCGGACAAAGTGACTTAGGGTCTGTCCTCAAAGTTATGACCATTGCATCACATCAGTGGTCGCATAGCTGCAGTTTGGGCATGTTGCAGTTGGCTTGCACTTACAACGGTTGCAGTATCTTGTGGTGATGTGATCTGATTTGCAACCTTCCAGCCAGCTTCCACAACCAAGGTCAATTGGGGAAGCTAAAATTGGATTAATTTAATGACAGTGTGATTTGCATAATGACCTCGGTAAAAATGGTCATAAAACCAGGTCCAGTCTGCGATGATTCATTTATTATTATTAATTTCATTCATTACCAAATTCTGGTCCCAATTGTCATACGTTTTGACTACTTGATTATTATTTTAGACTTAATTGAATGTCTTTTTTCCAGGAGATTAAGAGAGTAACATCACTTCTATTTATTACCCAACAACTCTATGATGGGCTGAGAAAACGTTTGCCCTAAGTCACCCAGTAAGCCTCCATGGCTCGAGTGGTCTCAGCATCTAGGCCTCCTGAGCCCCCCTCCAATATCTAAACTAATATTATTAACTGTTTATTAACGTAAAGTTCTCTGGATTATTTTTAAATGGAAAAAATGTGACAAATTTTCAGCAGTTGGTCTTAGATGTCATGAAAAGCAGCAATGCTTGCTCTATTCTGCTCTCTACTCTCACAATAGAAGCTCATGGTCATTTCCCCTTTAGTACTTGTTTAAAGGGGTGTAGTTTTCTGTCTATATAGTGTGCATTTTTGCACAGGGCTCCCCAGACGGGAGAGGTCTCTAG